TGAAGACACTGTGTGTTTCGTTGTGAAATGGTTAAGTTGTATTTACAACACTGTTCCAGAACAGTTCAACCCAAATATTCAGATGTGTGCAGCACATTTTATGGAGGACGAGGACTGTTTCCTGTGAGAGTAGCCTACAATGCCGGTGTCTGTTTCTATAAAGTGGGGCAATTCCAACTCACTTCTGGTGCTTCTGACTCACAGCCTGTGAAAGTACGTTTTCATATTTAAAGAATTTGCCACTGATGATTCAAACGCGAGTTTTGAGCAGTGTAGAGTAGCGCTTGTTGTTTGTCGTTTCTCCGATCACAAATGCAGACATGGTTTTATGTTTACGCGGCGCAATACGCAACACAACGCAACGCGTAAAAAGACAGTATAAGTCATTATAATCAGTAATTATGTCCCCACTGGATGCAACAAATGCCTCGTTTATAATAGGTTTTATTGTTTTTGTCTCGTCGCTCCAGCCTGACAGGGCATCATCACAGTATGGTAAGGGGCATAGAGGAGAAACAATAATGTTTTTTTAACCTTAAAGCGCATAAACACATTGCATTACACCAAATTCACAAAATAATGATCTTTTTAGCAACGTCATATGACCCCTTTAAGATCTATTTGAACTTTTCTCTAGTCTGTACAACATCTTTTACATTTCTTTAAGTCTAAAGCAGTAGGTTTTTTTTAGCTTGTGCCACTAATAACCACAATATGAGTGGCGTCATTTCCTATTTCCAAACAAATTGTACACAACACATTTTTGGGTTTGGCGTATGTGTGAGAGAGAGAGAGAAAAAAAAAGGAAGTCCATTGAAAATGAGCAGGGAACTGGGGAACTAAAGTTACGAAATGGTGTGAAACCAGGAAGACATATTCATATTAACCACTGACTGAAGCATCTGTTTGATGCATTTCTGATTGGATAAACTTTTATCACAATAGGCCTGAGACCGAGGTGTTTTGCAGATACCTGGTAAGGTGTTTCTTCTACCATCTGCCCCAATAACCACATCAAACTCCAGCTGACTGACTGGATGAGAGTTGGGGTGGACTTCTGCTCGCCAACCAACACCTGAACAGGACAAATGGAAAAATCAATCAAAAAAATCTGTTACGTTGGCAGTTAAAATTAGGGTGAAAGTGTATTAAATTATGTTCTCACGTTTCTCTTGGTCCTCTGGAGGTTCCACTAGATGTTTGAACTCCACATTCACATGAATCTCAACGCCCACTAACAAGGCCACCTTCAGAAGCATCAGCTGCAACTGACGAATACCTGCACAGACATAGATGTTGATAAACCATTCAAAACAATTTTACTCTCGTAATGTAATGTTAACAGGTAAAACAGAATAAATAATGAGAAAAAGGTAGGTAAATAGTATGAATAGACTAGAAATCAACACAATCAGAGCCAACAAATGATAATATCAAATGCTTTCAGAAAGCACTACTAAAATTGTGTTGTTAATCATTGTCTTCATTACGAAATAATAATAATAATAATAAACAAAGCATCCTTAAAATAGGATTAAACTGATAAATTGCATTGTATATTATTAACTAGTTTTCAAAGTATATTTTATATTTGTAGACTTTTCATCATAAAACTCACAAAAATTAATTATGACATAAATGAGTAAAATTAATAATTAAATGATAGAAAGTGCCATGTCTTTAGTCTAAATACAGTAAATTAATAATAAATTATTTTAAATACTACAAATATTTAGGCAACACAACATGATAAAATATACAAAATATAAATTATACATTTTATATAAATCTACTTATTAAATATTTCATGCTTTTTTTTAATTAAATGGTAAAAAAAATAAATTGTAGATGAAAAACTGAGAAAATGCACATTTCATATAAATATCAAATTTGAACCAATACTGATAATAATTAAAAAAAAAAAAACTATAACAAGGCCACTTTAAAAGCAAATAAATAATTTAATTAATTAATTACAAAATAAAAAATGATTTAAAAATATTATTGGGGAAAAAGTAGGTTGGGACTTTTATTCACTGGAAATTGATTGTGAAAAGTGGGCGTTAACCAATAACCTGAGTGGCCTAGATGATGTCACCTGGAAAGGAAGTTGTTTCAGAAGTGGAGCAAGCTTTTTTTCTTTGGAATAATTTGCACTGATAAACTGTGTGCAATAAAACCACAAATGTGTATTCAACTCACTTCACAGTTCTGAGTTCAAGTTCACATTAACTCACTGATATGGTCTATGGCTCCAGCACAGAACTTCCCGTAGAACTTTTTGGCCCCCAAACCACGGAGGTCCTGGATGGTGAATGGCCAAAGGTGAAGAACATTGTTCCGTGAGAAAGCATCTCGCTTTTCCACCAGAACCACCCTGGCGCCCAGAAATCGCAGCTCTATAGCTGTCCGCAATCCACACGGACCTGCACCTATGATCAGACACTGAACACACAACAAAAACCTGCGTGTGAAACAGTTTTCAGCACACTAGTGAAAAGAAATCTCTCTTGCAATGCACTGCGGGTGACTCTTTGTACCGTGGTGCTGGTGCAAGCATGGCCTCTCATGTATTCTCTCTGGCTGGCTCTTTTATCCAGTTTGGCCCATAGTGCTTTGGCCTTCCAGTAGTGCAGTCTGCTCCTCAGGATGTGGTAGAACTGCGGCTGACCGCCGGGATGCAGCTTCAGCTCTTCACACAGCTCCTGGAAGGCCCTGAAGGTCTCCCTGCATGTGGCGGCTTGAACAAAGGCATCGAACAGGGCGTGCACATGACACGTTTTAGACTGTCCGTCCCACATATCTGCTCCTCAAACGACAGGAGTCAGCTCACCTCCAGAAGGCACCAGACACAGGACATCTGAGGAAGAGAAATTATTTCTGGTGACTGCAGGCTGATTTTGGAAACATGGGGAAGAGATGAACACGGAATAGGGAACAGAGAAAGCAATCCGCATAGATAGGCTGTGAAGCAGATTTTTTTGTGAAGTCAGCAAAAGTGCTGCCACATTCTTATTCCTCGCTATCCACCTTCACATCATGTTCCACTCAGACACACGTCTCTCATTAACTCCTCAACTCAATGACACTCAATGTGTCACTGCTTATATAACAGATATTTTTATGAGAGACATTTTATTGACACAAATATATATTTATATTGAAATTACATTAATTGAATTGCCTTGGACTCTGATGTTGCACACATACACACATCACTTTCCTACAAATTATTATAAGTGCAATAAATAACTTGTGAAATAAATGATTAGTAATATTATTTAGTATACTATATTAATAAATAAACTATATTGTTATAATTAGTGAATATACTACAGATATAAGGTTCGGAGCGAATAATTAGTTGATACTTGGGCATTTTGAGATCATCATTAGTGTCATTTCCCCCCCAAAAAAGCATTGGTGAATTGATAATGCAAAATCTCTGTTTTCAAATGTTTTTAATAATTTTGAGTAAATAAATAAACAAACAAATAGATAAATAAAAACAATAAAATAATGTTTCATTTCACCAATTTTGTAAATCTCATTACCTATGATTATATTGTATTATCTGAATGTATGTTTATCTGTATTATATCAAGCATAGATAACTATAGATACTATATGTGTGTGTGTGTGTGTAAACAGGTACAGACAGGTAACAAACAGGTAAACAAAATGTGTTTGCAGTAGTCTGTGGTTCCTGCACTGACTCCAGTGATCATTCTGATTGGCTGTTGAGTAAAAGGGGTGGGGATTAAAGTGCTCCATAGAGTCAGCAATAAACACCAGACAGTAAAGCACTTCATTATGCACATTACAAAAGATTACAGTAACTGCACTGACTCAATTCATTCAGGCCTATTACTCAGCCGTGCAATTCAGCCTGGATGAAAAGTTTGACCTCTCAGCGCCCACATAAGAATGAGTCATTATATGAGCTTGCAGATGATGCCTGATTTGATATCTCATGATTATATGCAAGGATAAGGAGACTATTTAAGCGTGATTTTGGTGTCCAAATCCTTTTAATGGCGGATTTTTTCACTCTCTTGCACCTACTTGTCTTTTAAATTAATGACAGAATAATCTGTGCATTGTCTTTAAGAAAGAATATGATACAGCAAGTGTGCTTAGATTATTTAAATGCACTAAAGCAGATACTGACATAGTGTCTAAAAATGGAGCCCATTAGAGACAGGGTCAGCCTGGTATTAAATCTTGGGAATGCTACCCACTGGGAGAAAGAGGGGGATTATGGGTGAGACAAGGTGACTGTCAAACTAATCTTTCTCTTATCTTGATGAAATGAAAAGTCTGTCATCAAAATTGAATGGTGACCAGGAGCTGTCAAGTTCCCAAAATAACAAGAAACACCATAAAAGGATCATAAACATATATTCTAATCTTCCTCACAACTCATTTGCCACACCAGGACATGTCACACCAGGTTTGACATCAATGATGCAAAAAAGTTTTTATAATTATATGTTCTTGTTACTCATAACTGCTTGTGAAGTGCCACATCTCAATATGCACACAAATTAAACCGTAAAAATGTGAAATTTTTGAGAGTTTAGAGGTAAAAAACTTCACTTAAATTTCAGTCTGTTCCTCACATAAAGCTATTTTTGACTTTGGATGACACACAAGTCATATGGACCACTTTTACAGCACTATTTTTCATTTTTGTAGTTTGACTGACCCTGGTCACCATTCACTTGCATTGTACAGAAAAGAACAGCATGAACATTCTGCTAAATGTCTCCTTTTCTGCTCTGTGGAAGAAAAAAAGTTAAACAGGTTTGAAGGTGAGTAAATGATGAAAGAATTGTAATTTCTGCATGATCTACTCCTTTAAGCAAAGAATATGCTCACAAGCAGTTCATGGAAACTGTGCATAAGAAGAAGAACAACAAGAAGTTACTCTCAAAACGAAAACTCCCCATTTTATTGGAGGTCATTGACACTGACACATGATTCTCATGTCCACTGTAAATGGAGGGCAAAACCCTGAAGTATCATCATAAAAATAAATGACCTGCATTAATATCCTTATTCCCCTCTCTCTCCTCTCAAATGTCTCAGTGATTGACTGCTGTGCCGTTTGAGAGCAGAGGATTACAGAACGCAAGGCAAGTGCTGCAGAAAGAGGATCGATCAGATTTTCCTCTAGTCAGCCATTCAGACATTGATTACACTGTGAAACTACTGTATATAGGCATTTGCACATATTCATGAAACTATACAGTCATTCATTGAGTATATAGAGTCAAAGTGTT